CAAATAGCAAATGGATATTGCCAACAGATTTGGAGCGCATGGATATGCTCAGGAGGGCACTAACTTCAAGCCTGCCTTACGTATGTTTCCTGGTAAAATACATGGAAAAATTCTCCCATTTTCAGTTTCTTGGAAAAACTTCATCTTTGCTTCTTAATGAGAATGTTCTGTCTCTTCTTGTCTCATTTTCTTTATTCATATTTGTAAGTGTGATGCTGTAAGACCAGTTGACACATTTAATACTTATTTTGCTGTGCTCAATAAAGAATGACTGAAAGCTGAAGTAAAAATAAATTTGCTTGAATAGAACTTCCATAGAGACAATCATGTTAAGTCCTCTGTGACATGTCAAACCCAATTTACCGACACAGACAATTATGCTAAAGTCAACAAGCGAGTAAAGTAAATTAACATTTATATAGACCTTGCAGATAACGAGATATGATACACAGTGGTTCTAGCTTTCAATCTGTATACAGCTTTATGCTTTGCTCTGTATTTATTCCAATCAACTCCTGAATCATAGCTTTGAATATTCTTCTTTGGGACAGGTGTACAATGATCAAATTGTATTCCTCAATCCCTTTATTGATTCATTATCTGGGTCAATAAAAGTTACCACTGGTATTCTTTTTTTCTCTTTCTTCTAATATAATGGCACTGACCTTTTATTTTAAAAAGACAGGTGGAAAGAGGTCCAAATTGAATATAGTACGTGGAAATCAATCCAACTATAATTTAGAAGCCAGAATGATTGAAATAGATGTGTAGTGTTGCTTGTCTGTTATTTTCAAATATGTTAATATAAACTGCCCAAGCATTTTACTCTGGGCATAAAGTAGTGCTTGGATCCTTTAAGTAAAATGATCGTAGCTTCTGTTTTGGAGAGCTAGTTTTACATTAATTTTTTTAAAAGTTTCTTGCTTTGGAATGAAAGGTTTCTCTATGGGGAAAAAAAAGGATACGAATGGCTGATTCCTGAAGTCAGCATTGTATTCCTTACACCAACCTAGTCTTTTTTTTTACACTTTTTAATAGCTTCTAACATCACTTAGATGTTAAATAAATAGCAGAAGACTCAGAAGCATTCCCCATTAGTGTGTAATAATAGTAACACTAATCCATATCTGCCTATCCCAGGTCCTTGGGAAGGACTTGATAGATAGAAAAAATGCCAAATTCAGTCTAAACATTTGGTTGACTATGCGACCAACCATAATAATACATTCATATGCCCCCGCCCCAATTCCCAATGATTCTGAGCAGTTAATAATAACAGATAAATAATGATATAATGGCTGGAAGTATTTATTTATGTGCAACATTTACACATTATGTTACTACAGAAAATTCTTTAAAAACTTACAAGTTTAAAGCTACAATTTAGCATCAGATTAGCACACAATAAAAATTAATGGCTATGAAACAAATACAAAGCTACTTCCTGGTCTCCAAATAGTTTGGAACAAAGGAAAGAGAAATTATTTATCATATTGGTGAGGTAAAAATGTTAGAAACATTTGCTGTTTAATAGACATGACCAGAGTACCAGTTCCACATTGGCAGAGAAGAATGTCCTCATCGCATCAAAATAGTATAATATAGCTTGTTCATAAAACAATCTAACCTGAACTCAAAAAAATAGATTGAGAATGATTTGATGCAGCGAAGGTGCTTTGGACATGTTACTGGTATTCCTGGAGTACCAAATATCTATTAAATTAATTTTAAATATTAGCAGTAACTTTTAAAGTGCAGGTAGTCCTCGACTTACAACAGTTCATTTAGTGACCATTCAAAGTTACAATGGCACTGGAAAAAGGAACTTACGACCGTTTTTCACAGTTATGACCTTTGCAGTATTCCAATGATCACGTGATCAACATTCAGAGGCTTGGCAACTGGTTCGTATTTATGACCCTTGCTGAGTCCCAAGGTCATGTGATCCCCTTCTGCAACCTTCTGACAAGCAAAGTCAATGAGGAAGCCAGATTCACTTAACTATTATGTTACTTAACAACTGCAGTGATTCACTTAACAACTGAGGTAAGAAAGGTCATAAAATAGGGCAAAACCCACTTAACAAATGTCTCACTTAACAACAAAAATTTTGGTCATAAGTCGAGGACTGCCTGTATACCAGGTGTGAGCCATTGGAAAGTAAAAGCTATTTTTTATTTAAAACAAGCATATAGTGAATACATAAATATGTTTCATTTCAGCTGGATACTTAGCATAAACAGCATGTTATTCTCCACGATCCCACTTGATTCTGTCTAGGTAAATTTCTCCAGGAGGCTTCTTGGGTGCACATTTCCATAGATACCACAGCCCAGCTAACAGGAGATGAAACAGAAGAACCAGGCCTAAGAAGATGAAGCAGAAGAGTCTGTCCAAAGTGTTAGAAATAGATTTGAGATGTGTTAACCCTTCATCTGTTCCACAATCTGCTGATCAAAAGAGAAAAATGTACCGGTGATTTTGCGGCTTGCCAATTCAAAATCAAAGAAGTAGAATTTAAGATCCAGTCAAAAGTTATTTGAAATATCCTGAATGATCGATCATGAGGGAATATTCAACTGCTACAATGAATAGAATTAAAACACGTTACATATATTTCATTAAACCATACATCATTTCCAATATTTAAATCTAAAAGCTTAGACATTTGGGTCAAATAAACAGTAACAAAGATCAAAAATTTAAAAAAAAATGGTTTTGCAAAATTCTTGATGAGAAATGTCTTTTCTTTGTCGTTTTTTGTTAGGTTAGGGAGACTCTCCCACTTATTTTGAAGTTTAAGGAATATACTGGCTGGGTACAAGCTGAGTCACCATCTCTTACTTTTACTCATGCATCCTGCCTTGTTATCATTACAGTGAAGTCTGAGGAAAAGGAATGGACCATCTACCCTTATTGCTGCTCTTTTATTCCAGCTGCAGCTTCATGGCTTAATTTTAAAGCACCAAGTATTAAAATAATGGATTCTTAGTTTAAATAATTAAAAGAGCAGCACTACTATTTCAGCCTAAAAAACCCTGGTAACTTCCTGACTTTAAAAAGTCTTTAGATGGTAGACCAATCTCCTACGGGTTTTCATTACTGCCAAGATTTATGTCATTGTGCTGAAGTTTCCACATCACCTTATTTATGAAATATTATGGTCCCCCCCTCCCCTATATCTTATTTATTTGCCTTATATCTTAAGATCCTTTGCATGTTCTAATCCTGTAGAAGTTGATGCTGTAGAAGTTCCCTTCTTTTTTTGTTTAAATCCGTAATTCAGACAAAGATTTGCATTATCTGTGACCACTTTCTGCACCAAAATAGTTTCAGTTGTGCTAAGGAATAGTAACATGAGAAGGTCAGTGTAGTAATAACCTAAGACATTATTGGAAAAAAGGAAGATGTTAAAGGCATTATTGATGGGTCCCCTCAGCCTTTGCTTTATGTGGGAAGTGTGTGCTGAAATTAGTTTAGCACCAATATATAAATTAAGATTAGGCTGAATGTTAGGGTTAGGGTTCCTTGAGGTCTATACTACAGTTAAGTGTGGTGAGCAGTAAGAGTTATTTATTTATGAAATTTGTTTGCTATTCATCTCACTGCAAGGTGACTCTGGGCGGCTTACAACATCAAAATAAAACCATAAATATCTACAAAGAAGTATGTAAAATCATGGTAAAAGCATAATAAAATACAAATTATAACTAAAACTAAAGGATGTTGAGGAAAGGACCAGAATGTACAGGGCTATTAGTCGAACAGCCACCTTCAGTGAGATACTCCCCCATTGGGGCCCCGATCCACTTGGCAGAGTCAGGTCTTCAGGCTCTTGTGGAAGGTCAGGATAGTGGGAGACAATCTCACTTCAGTGGGCAGGATGTTCCAAAGCACCAAGGCCACAACAGAGGACCCCACCAGTTGGAATTCCTTGACTGACAGGATCTGCAGCATAGGGATGGGTAGGACAGGCCTGTCCCATAGGGGTGAGATGGTTTCTCAAGTAACCTGGACCCTTTCCAGGCCGGGCTTTATAGATAATAATCAACAACTTGACTTGCACCTAGAAGCAAACCAGCAGCCAGTCCAGCTTGCAAAACAGCGATGTAACAAGCCCCCCCCCCAAACTGCCCGTGCTCCCACATTCTGCACCAGCTGAAGCTTCAAAAAGCTCTTCAGATAGAGCGCATTGCAGTAATCCAAGTACAAGATGACCAGGGTTTGAATCGCTGAGTACAGAAACTCCTGATACAGGAAAGGCTGTAAGTGGTGCACAACCCAAAGTTGTGTAAAAGCTCTGCTAGCTGAGTCTGCCAGCTGCTCTTCAAGCAGGAGTTGTGAGCCCACGAGGGCCCCCAAATTGCATACCACATTTGTCTGGGGTAGTGCCATCCCTTCCAGAAATAAAGATGTCAAAATCCTGGATCTTGAAGCTCCATGCACCCATAGACATTGGGTCCTCCAAGGGTTCAGCTGAAGCCTGTTGACCCCCATCCAGGCCCCCACAGCCTCAAGGCACCATGAAAGAGCGACAGCATCACTTGGCTCACCGGGGATGGAGATATAAAGTTGAATATCATCTGCGTATTGATGATACCTCAACCCATGGTGATAGACGATCTCACCCAGCAGCTTCATATAGATGTTAAAAAGGAGTGAAGGGAGTACCAAGCCCTGTGCCACACCAAAATGGTCATGGGCTGGATCTCTCACTCAAGGTCAGAGGTCAAAGATGATTGCACTACTTGAATCCTGCTTTCACCAGAAATCATCAACAAGCACGAGCAATGCTGTTTCCATCCCATAACCGGGCCCAAATCCTGACTGAAAGGGATCCAGATGATCTGTTTCATCCAAACCCTTCTGAAACTGCCAGGCAACCACCTTTTTACCACCTTCCATAAAAAAGTGTTGCTGTTATCATTAATTATAATCTCGTCTTTAGTTGAATATTTTTTCTGGATGTTATTTTAAGCCGTTAGATAAAGTGGACAAAACTTTCCATTTGACATTTTTGGGTGACTTGTTGCTTGACATCTTTTTGCTTGTACAACTTACTGAGCAGTGGATTACAGGAGGAGGATTCCGGCAGGGAGCCAATAATAGAAGACTAGATATGCCAAAAGCAAAGTGATCCTGTATGACAGTCTGTCTTGGAGACGGATAAAGAAGCCACAGAGATCTGCTATCTCAACTGCAAAGCTTGGCAATACTGAGGAAAGGATGACTCGTATTCCTGTGTTTTTTAAACTTATCTGAAAAAGAAGCCAGACGTCATGGTAAAAGGAAGAAATAATTCAAGTTTCACCAGAAGTTCATTTGTTGGGCATTGATTGACAGTGCTAAGTCTAAATGTGGTTTGTTTGCTTTGGTTAAACACAGCATGTGAATTCAGCCACTATGGTTGCAAATCATGGATTTTATTTCTTTAATGAAATGAACCTACCCAATTATAATATTCTTATTTTTATGAGGGTGGGAAGAAGCGAGACTCCCAAGAAATATTCCCATTGTTAATATCCATTCCAAAGGCAGATAGAATATCTATATGCATCAGTCCAGTCAGCTAGAAGAATAGGTCCTGACTGAGATGCCACTAAGGTACTTTTAAAAAATTACAATGCAAGTGATATTCTTACCATGACCGCAAAATAAGGCTGGGCCATATTCCTTTGGCTTGTAATGTTCACATTTGTGATGAGATATTCACACTTTAAATTCAGAATTTCATTTGCAATGGAGGTGCTGAATTTCAGCTCACTGACTTGAAAGAATGATTTAAAAGAATTTGAAAAATCATAATCTTATCATAACTAAAAAAGCTGATATAGTGTCTTAGTCAAACTACAAGTATGAGTCAACCATATTATAAACTATCTGGGAAAAGAAATGCGATAGATGAAAAAAGGGCTGAATAATAGCAGAGGTTAGAATAACTGGTTATTCTTTGGAAGAGCAGAGTTGCTACTACTAGGTACTGAGAGTTGGATTTCCTATATCTTAGCAACCGAAGTCTGGTACCAACTTCTTCCGTTAAATGTTTTCTCTGATGCCTTTTTTTTGTCTTGTGCTCAATATCTTGTCAGTGGAGATTGTGCAAAAACTGATAATAGAAACTAGACATTTTGTACAGCAGCTCCACATAATGATATTGACAATGTGCCTAATGGCACATTAGTGGACAATGTCAGATGGTTTCACTCACTGGCTTGTATATTCAAATTTTTGTATAAGTAAATATTACTTTAATATTACTAATTAAATTATACATTTTAATGTGAAAGCCATGCAAACTGACCAAGCAATATTTATCATCCCTCATTTTTATACTAAGTGGTGATTGGCAATATTAAACAGGTTGTATCATGAATAATGATCGATGTTATCCATAGGGGTACATTATGCCTTCATAGCCAGCCATATCACATTCACCCAAATCAACAACTATCATTCCTAAAAAATTTAATTAGAACTATGTGCTGTGCCAGCAGAAATAAAACATGCAGACTGCAAAGGACCTTCTTAACTACATCCAAAATTTACTTAAGAAGGCACTCTAGATGGTTTGACTTGAGGTTTGAATAGAGTTCTGTTCTATGCATTGCAACCAATTTCCTTATGTTATTTATGTACCTTTGCTGTCCAGTGAGAAAAAGCTCAAAAAGCACTGGCTGCTATCTAATGGATAATAGAAGAGGTCAAAGTTGCAGTTGCTGTCAATGAGAAGAGCAAGTTGAAATTCTGTTTTCCCATCACTGTGAAGTACCACATTAGGGGATCCCACTCTCCATGTTACATAAAACCTTTAATTAAAGAAATGAGACATAAGCTAAAGCTAATGCTGCTTTTTACAATTTTGTTATCTTCTAAAAAGTTGAAAAACATTTTCTCACTTTCAAATGAGAAAAAGTGCACTTGTTCTCTTATTAAAATTCTCAAACTATCATTGTTTACTGTAGAGAGGGCCGGATAATATAGAATGGAATGGAATGGAATAGAATAACAGAGTTGGAAGCCAACTTGGAGGTCTTCTAGTCCAATTCCTTGTTCAGGCAGGAAACCCTACACCACTTCTGACAAATGGTTGTCCAACCTCTTCTTAAAAAGTTCCAGTGTTGGAGCATTCACAACTTCTGGAGGCAAGTTGTTCCACTGATTTGTTCTAACTAGTTCTATATGACATATGGAAACCAATTTGGTCTATTGTTTAAGATACCACGCTAGAAACCTGGAGACCATGAGTTCTAATCCTGCCTTGACTGTGCCACTTAGACATGGTTGATATTAAACAAGAACCACATGGGTCATTAAAAAAAGAACTCAAGTGATCATGACTTCTGACTTCCTACCAGCTTCCCCATTGCTTGTGGGAACCTGGCACGAAACATCAAAAATGTGACTGCAGGGACACTACAATGTCCAGAACTCTGAGGAACCATCATAAGTGCCCTTTGTTCAGCACCATTATAAATCTGAATAGTCTCTGAACAATTGGTTATAACCTGAGAACTACTACTACCTCTGTGTTGCTTCCCAGAAAATTATACCACCTGAATGTGTCCAAAAGTCCTGGGTAAACTGAAAGGAGGGTATATTTGTACTGGAATAAGCTCTAAGGTAATTTGGTCTTGGCCTGTTCTGTACATGCTATGTATTTCTCTGCCACAGAATAGTTACAAAGAATTATAAGTTATTTAAATCTTTCATAGCCCTCTCTTATTTTGAAAAGGTGGGGGGAGGATAGCTATGTTAGTAGGGATTAATACAGAGTGTCCTTCTGATCCAGAAAAAGTCCACAGTGCTATTAAAAATCTTCTTAATACATTTTAATCCTGACAGAGACCTATAGGAAGTGCCGTCCTTTATTGTAAAGGATAGCTGAGTGTTAATCTTTCCACAAGAAAATTGAATAGATTCCTGATTTTAGTCTTTAGGAACCATATGCCAGCTTGTGCCCCTCTAGTTGTGTTTTCATTTATGAGCTATATATGGAGTTTCATTCAGTGGTGCCTCCTGGCAGATTCAAATGTGAGCTTCTTGACTCCCAACTAAATCTAACATTCAGTTGTAATAAAGTATGATAAAAACAATCATACTCATTACTCTTAGTTTTACAAATACACTCTAAAGTATTTTCTTCCCTATTTAAACCATTCGTTTATTTATTGTCTCTCTCAGTGACTCTTATAAATATCCATTACAAGTTAGGAGAGGAAGTGAGGAAGTATAATATCCTATCCAAATATAAAAGTGAGCTTGGATTGGATGATGTAACTTTGCTAAAACATTAGACGCATTGGTCTTGTGATCAAATGCTGGAGAATAGGTAGCTTACTATTAGCTACAGTACCACCAACTGGCTCTTTTACAGGTAGAGTGTTGAAATAGATGTGTCTTGATGTGACTGCGTTAACCTACAGCACATTCTTCCAACGTATCTTATTATGGACACTGTTCTTTTAATGCTCCTTACGCTTCTTGAACCGTATAAGAGGGAGTCCAGACTGAATTCCAAGGCACAGTGATAGTGCTGAAGGGGAATTCCTCCTCATCCCAAGCCAGTCTTTTATTATACCACGACTGAAAGATTCATTAAGAGAAAACGTTAGTCTTCATTCTTACATTTCCCATTCCCAGCATTGATGATGTTAAAATTTGCCATCCCGCAGGGAAAATGACTTTTATAGGCATTATCCTGAAGTTAGGTCCATGATTAGGATTAAAGATTGAAGGTATGAATGGGGATCAATTTGTATGGGCAATGAGAGCTCCTTTTTCAATTAGCAATGTATGCTGGATAAACAATCTTGAACAATCTTTTCATAGGTGTTAGGACAGGGGTGGGATTCAAAAATTTTAACAACCAGTTCTGTGGGCATGGCTCCATTTGTGGGCATGGCTTGGTGGTCATGTGACTGGGTGGACATGGCTTGGTGGTCATGTTATTGGCTGGGCATGGCCAACTCAATATCACTCACATCGAGGCACGTATCTCCTCGCCTAGCGTCTCATGACTGTGGGGATGCTGCAACAATCGTAAGTGTGAAAAATGGTCATAAGTCACTTTTTTCAGTGCCATTGTAACTTTAAATGGTCACTCCGTGCAACCAAGGTACCAGCAAAGGAGGGGAAAAAAACTCCAGAGAAGTTCCTGAGACAGGAAGTCTAGTCCTGCCAAGAATGTAATAAGGGTTAAAGGAGAGGCAGTTTCTATAAGCAACACTAGAATGTTTCCTTCCTGCCTTCCTTACAGGATTAGGCCAGTAATTTCTTCTAACAACCAGTTCTCCAAACTGCTTAGAATGTTAACAATTGGTTCTAGCAAATAGGTGTGAACTGGTAGAATCCCACCCCTCTGTTAGGATGAAGTTAGTGTTAAGAGAAGGAAAAATTGAACAGAGGTCTAAATGCATGATAGATATTGCCTAAGAATTTTAGGCAAGCTCAGTTGCTATAGTTACATCTCCCATTTCCCATGGCTAGTGATTTGTGGGCCTAAGATTTTTCTGTAATGAGTTTACTGCCCATTTTCTCTGCCCAAAGTACAGCTCTCAGAATACCCCAGGGGAAAATAAATTATTATTGAGCCAATATGTTTACAATATACTCTGAAGAAGAAGAAAAGTCAGCAGTGTTTTTAATATAGCTGTTTGAGGATGAGGTTTTAAGAAAGTTAACTCCAAAGGTTAGAAAGGAATGAATTCACCTAGAAATGGATACTGGAGAAAAACTGCATAGGATGCACACACACAAAAAAAATTTTAAGAAACATTTAATTCACATTTTCTATGCTACACTTTCCAGATTACACAAATCAGAATTTCAAATTATGCATTTTTCTGAACACTGCAGTGTAAATTTGAACTAAAAACTGTATATTGCAGGAAAATGTGCTCCTGTTACTTATTACATACATATAAAATTTATCCCAAATGGCTTGTACATCTTCATTTACTCTTTTCTTCATAACTTATATTCCATTGCAATTAGTGATTTACGCATATTTACCAGGATGCAAGAAAAGGGGGATAGGGTTAGAATGTTCTTTTTTGTTCAAAGCACACTTTTATAACATTTTCAAGTTCAAGTGTGGGTTACGAGTGCTATGACAATGACTGGACACACACATACACACAAAGATTCCAAAATAAAGAAGTGGGTGAACTCAGGACAAAAAAATGTTTCACTTTGCATCCACTCCTCATTTAGAAACTACCTTGATAAGCAACCATTTGCAAATTCAACAACAATAGTAAAAAATAGATTTTGTGACCACTTATAATCGAATTTTGTGTGTCTGACATGCATGCTGTAGTGAAGGCAACACTGGCATAACTGTAGCAGAAAACTGTATCTGAATGAAACAGCAGCAACCATGGATCTTCACAGTGACTCTTTCTCACTCTCATTTAATGAACTAATTGTGAGAATGGAACAGGTTGCTAAATGAGGAGAGGGTGTAATCTAAACAGAACTGGCATGCGGTTTATCATGCATAGTGTAATTTTCCCCTTTCTATCATATTAAAATTTACAGTTTGACAGCAACATTTTATAGTTTTTAAACAAAATTTGGATTTGTGTGCTGCACACACTGCTTTAGGCCTTCCTTCTCTCTCTCTTCCCAATTACTGGATTAAAAAAAAAATTAAGCGTTACCTGATTCAGGGCCAGAACAGATGTGATGGTGTATTTGAAGATGTTCTAGTGGAAGAATAATTTATGGTCATTTTCCTTCCATTTGTTTATACAAACACATTGAATTTTCTTTTGGCAAATCCAAAATAAAATGCAAAATGGAATGGAATAGAATGTAGAGGAATAATTTTCAAATACTAAGGTTCCAAAAAGAAAAAAAAAAGCTATTATTTTAAATATTGGCTGAGGTACTATGTTGTTCAGATTTTATTGTCAATTTTTGTAACACAGAGCTCATTCCCTATCTAGCTGCTTCCTTCCCTCATCATTTCCTCAAAGCAAGAAAAGCCACTTTCCTTTGAACTCTATGAAATTACTGGAATTATTAGATTTTTGGGAACCTCAGCTATACTTCTGCAATTCATACATGTGTCCAAGATGTTCACTTACATTTCTTTTGAACGTATTTCTTGCTACCAATTCTCACAGGTCATCTCACACTATTAAAACAATATTGTGAAATGTAGGGAATGCGGGAAGGGAAATTATATTAACTTCTCTCTTTATAGAGTGGGATGAAGGACATTGTGTGACTTCACAGCTGAGAAGCAGAGAAACTTCAGGGAACTAGTTACAAAGTGCAAACTCCATACCTGCCAGCCAGCTTGAAGACATTAATGATTTATTTATGCTCTGGGCAAGCTATAATACATACATCATCTAGTTGATTGTGCTAGGAATCTCAGCATAGATCAATATGGATGAGACTTAGGAAATCAATGAACTGACAGTCTCATAATGTTTTAGCAGTTACCGCTTCTTCCTCTGTCACACCCACCCACAGAGAGAAAATAGATAACAGATAATCAGAGTTGGAAGGGACCTTGTAAGCCAAGCAGGAGACCCTACACCAGAGAGAGAAACAGGGAGACAGAGACAAACAGACAAACTCAGACACACATACAGAGACACACACACAACAAAAACCACTCTTTAATTCCCCATTGGAACTAGGAGCAATTTAAACCCACAGTAAGCCCCTATTTTCTTTTGGAGCAGAATGCTTAGTTAATAACAATTTACAAATATTTAAATTTTACCATACATCCCACATCTAGCACATTAGACATAACCACTGTGTTATTCACTAGAAGGGGGCCATTTCTGTGGGTCTGATATACAGCATTTGTACCAAATAGTGACTTAAATAGTTTTTCTTCCAAAGAGGCAGAGGATATCTGAAGTGAGGCTGCTAGAAGCAAAGCACAAAATTCCCATTTTAGATCAAAGGTTCTCTCAATATGCTGCCGTTCAAATCACACCAACATTTATGTTGAATCTGAGAAATATGGTCACGTTTAGTTATTGTTAAATCCCACCAAGTATGGTAGAGGATGGTGATCACCTTACTACCTAAGTAAAATTCAAGAGCCAGTTTGGTCTAGTGGTTAATACATCAGGCTAGAAAGAAAGAGACTATGAATTCTATTCCTGTCTCAGGCATGACAGATCAGGGATCCCCAATCCCCAGACTGAGGGCCTGTTAGGAACCAGGCCACACAGTTGGAGGGAGCAGGGGGCGAATGAGTGAAATCAAAACCATCTCCCCCATGGAAAAATTGTCTTCTGTGAAACGGATCCCTGATGCCAAAAAGATTGGGGACAGTTGATCTAGGTAACATTGAGCCAGTCACTCTCTCTCTCTCAGCCCAACCTACTACACAGTGGTGTTGCTGTGGAGAAAATAGGAGGAGGGAGGAGTATTAAGTATGACAGCCACCTTGAGTTAATTATAAAATAATAAAGGCTGCAAGCATAAAATCAATCAATCAATTAATAATCATTCTGGTCAGCTGCTATAAAGGAGGGTAAGGCATGTGAGATCTTTGTCTCTGCCTTGATTATCAGAACCACTGCTGACATCAAATGAACTATGTTTAGGATTCAGTAGAGGTTTCATCCTCATCAGAGATGTTCTTTTCCCCCAACCCTTGACCTCAATAACTCTTCATCAAGAGGAAGAATAAATGCTGATTCTAATTCTTCAAACTACAAGTAATTAGAAACTTTTGAGTTTCGCTAGATTAGAATCTCCTCCACATTTCCTTTTACTTGCATGTAAGGAAAGCAATTCTCTTGGCCCAAATGAGACTATTTTAACTCTAGGCCCAAATGAGACTATTTTTACTGTCCATTTCCAAGGCTAAACTTTGCACATGCCTGTAAGTTATATTAAGAAATCAGAAACTTATTAGTCTGAACATATTTTCAAAATAAAGAAAGGTGTACGGTACCTAGCAACAGGAAAAGATAGGTAATGTTGATTCTTGTTCTCTTCGTTTCTTTTTGCCAAGAAATCAGGCTTTAATGTAATTCCAGATCTTGATGTAAAATTGTTACTGATTTCATTTGGGATTATGAGGATTGTAGTCCAATACACCTTAAAAGCACCAGGTTAGGAATGGATGTTGTAAAATTAATATGAATTTACAGATTTGGATTATCCTTCTCTATGGCATTCCTAGCATGTATGCCATACACAATAAGCATCATAATCGTATGATTATAATACCCATATTAAACCTGTGTATGCAATTGGCCTAAGATAGTATTGCAAATTGTTTTTTACTGATGGTAGAAAACAAGTGTAGTCCTAGTAACATGGAGATTCACAGATTAGCATTACAATTTCTTCTGTTCTTTTTGGTAAGGCAGTGATAATCTAATAATTGCCTTTCTATTTTACAAAAAGTATATTCAAAATAACATTTCATATTACATGACCAATTTTAATTTTAAATTAGTAATACAAAATGGTATCTGAAGAATGAAATACTTAAAAAGTATCCAGTGAGTCATCAGGAATGCTTGTAAGAAAAAATAATTTAGCAGACAAATAAAGCACCAGTAATTAGCTATAAAAGTCTATGATGAGAGTTAAAAAAAAGGAAAGAAAATAGGAATAAAACATAGGTGTTGTATCAATACATTGAAAAACACAGCAAGAAATCATAGAATTTTATCTCCTTTATAAAATAAAACCTGAGATATAAACAATCTCATAAGAATATAATGTAGTAATCAAATGCTCAATCTATTCCATGCCTTTCTACCCATACCAAAGGGTGCTACCTGAATGTGTCCAAAACTTTCAACCACTTTGCATAAAAATACACAGGTATTTTTAAAATTTATTTCACATTGCAAAGTTCACTCTCCACACCACCCTCTATACATATTTGTATAGCTGGGTTTTTTGTTGTTGTTGTTAACTTCTCATGTTTGTTTATTGCACACACACACCCATAATCTGAATTCTCAGCAACACTAACCAAATAAGCTTCATGTTATTGTTTTTTAAAATGATGTCCTTTATTTCATTCTCTACTATTGTTTTAGATAGATAGATGATGAAAGAAAGAAAGAAAGAAAGAAAGAAAGAAAGAAAGAAAGAAAGAAAGAAAGAAAGAAAG